AGAAGAAGAAGAAGAAGAAGAAGAAGAAGAAGAAGAAGAAGAAGAAGGAGAAAGTGCCTTTTGTTTAGGGAGGTATTTGTTTGTTAAGATGGGGTCTTGTTGTGTAGCTCACATCAACCTTGAAATCACAAACCTCCTGACTCTCTCCAAAATAGTGGGATTTAGAGGTGTGCCCTCCACACTTTGGCTTTCAACCAATCCTTTGCTAACAAAGTATGTAATTTTCTTAACATCCTCAAATCCCATCATTCAGAGGTCTCTGATAGACTACAAATGACTTTTACTGATTCACAACACCAAGTACTTTATTCCTGTCCTTTGTGGCATCTTACTAAAAACCTAAAATGAATACAGTTGTTCATAAGCATTTTATAATTTTACAAGACTATTTTTGGTAAAGATTACTAGAAATGGGATTACCTCTCAAAAGGCAAACCATACAAAATTTTGCTAGAGTGAATCAAACTAGTAAATCCAATATTAATTTATATTGCTTCTCCCATCAGAAAGAAGCCAACAAAACATACAACTGTGAAAATTTAGGTCTCAGTGAAATTCCTGGCACTGTACCAAACTCAACAGAATGTTTGGAGTTCAGCTTTAATTTCCTGCCTACAATTCAAAATACAACCTTCAGCAGACTCATGGATCTCTCCTTTCTGGATTTAACCAGGTAGGTATTTCAGTTCCTTGTGTGCTCTTGACATTTTACTTAAGCAAAACCGCATCACACATCCCAAGTGTCTCCAATATCTCCTGTAGAGCCACAGATAAGCTGCTTGTGTATTTACCCTTTCCCGAGGAATACATTTCTGGTGCTATCTTGCATTGCAAATAAAAGCCAGTCAGCTAGAAGGAAGACGTTCTGCACTCCAGCTTTGCTTCAGGAGTGCTGTTTAGGAAGTTCTAAGGCAGTGGTTCTGAACCTGTGGGTTGTGACCCATTTGGGAGTTGAACCACCCTTTCATGGAGCCACATATCAGATATCCTGCATATCAGACACTTACATTAGAAGAAACTCATAGATCCATGGAGTAACTTTGTTTTTTAGACAGGGTCTCTTTATGTAGTCCTGGCTGTCCTGAAATTCACTCTGTTGACCAGGCCAGCCTTGAACTCACAGTTACCTTCCTCTGCCTCCTGAAAACTAGGATTAAAAACTAGCATCCCTACATCTGACTTCTGTTAACTCTTTATTTTCCCGTTCTACACAAATTGGATAAAGAATTTCATTATCTAGAGCAGATAATGAAAGATGCTGTCAGCATCACGATTCCAGGTGCCTGAAAGTTGTATCTGAATGCTGAAGCAATGGTTGGGAACAAATAGGCACAACTAGCAAAAGCAGGTGAGGGTGTGCAACTTGTATATGTGGGGAAAGGAAAGAAGCCTGACCCTTCCTTGACACCTTGACACTGTAACAGCTCTCCTCATCAGCCTTTCCATTTCTGCAGAGTGGGAGAATGCACACATCTACCGTTTTCTTTCCTGCTTATACGTACCATTGTGAGCTACTATGGCCAATATTACTACTCACCTGTGCTTAGGTGAGGGAACCATCAGCATGCGTGTGTGTATGTGTATAATTAATCCAGTGTTTTTAGAGGTAATGTCAGGATTGTATTTTCTGAGTCTTCACTGTTCTCCAGCTCAAGGAGCATTTTCCCATAGATCGTCTGGCACACAATAGTTCTTTATAAACCCCTTTTACATTTAAATGATGAAAAAAGACTCTAGCCTAGTGGCAGAATGTATGCTTAGTGGGTGCTAGGCCTTGGATTCAATCTTCACTAACAGCTCCCCTCCCCCAAATCTGTAAAGGTTGGTTGTAGCTCTCTCATGATGTTAGCAATATCTATTATCGCCTATGTGTTATAGGTGACATATTTTATATTAAATTAAACAGCAAATCACAGTTTATCTTTTACAATCAATCAAATCAGGTTTTTTTTTCTTACAATTAAAAAAAAATCCCTGAGTGTTCACTGTAAAAGCGAAAGGAGTATAGAATAAATTCTGAATCAGAGTGTTCATAACTAAGGCTTTCCATTAACCCAACAAACTACTCTATGGGTATGGAAGAAAGTTTTGTTGTGCTTTTCAGTAATGTACACTATTTTGCTGTAATGGTGTTTGTTCTTTTGTCCTTGTTTAAATGACTGTTAAATTCTCTTCTCACTTCCAGGTGCCAGATTTACTGGATACACGAAGATACTTTCCAAAGTCAACATCATTTAGACACACTCGTGTTAACTGCAAATCCCCTGATATTTATGGCAGAAACAGCACTTAATGGTCCTCAGGCGCTAAAGCACCTGTTCTTCATCCAAACGGGAATATCCAGTCTCGAGTTCATCCCAGTGCACAATCTGAAAAGCTTGGAAAGTCTTTATGTTGGAAGCAACCATATTTCCTCCATTAAGCTCCCCAAAGACTTCCCAACGGAGAAGCTGAAGGTCCTGGATTTTCAGAACAATGCTATTCATTACCTGTCTAAAGAAGATGTGGGCTCTCTACAGCAAGCCACTGGTTTGAGCCTTAACTTAAATGCAAATCTCATTACAGGGATGGAGCCTGGGGCTTTTAGGTCAACTGTCTTCCACAGTTTGAGCTTTGGAGGGACTCTCGACTTGCTCATTATATTCAGGGGTTTGCAAAACTCTACTATTCAGTCTCTGTGGCTGGGGACATTCGAGGACCTTGATGATAAAGAACTTAGTGATTCCATGCTTGAGGCTCTCTGCGAAGTGTCTGTTGAGAGCATCAACCTGCAGAAGCATCACTTCCTCAACCTCTCCCCCAACACATTCCACTGCTTCACCAGCCTCCAGGAACTGGACCTTACCGCCACTCACCTGAAAGAATTACCTGCTGGGATTGTGGGCCTAAGCAAACTCAAGAAATTAGTTCTCAGTGCAAATAAGTTTGAAAATCTGTGCCAAATCAGTGCTGGCAGTTTCCCCTCCCTTACACATCTTTATGTCAAAGGCAACATGAAGAGGCTTGAGCTTGGTACTGGCTGTTTAGAAAACCTAGAAAATCTTCAGGAGCTTGATCTAAGCCATGATGACATCGAAACTCCTGATTGCTGCAACCTGCAACTCAGAAACCTGTCTCACTTACAAAGCCTGAACTTGAGCTACAATGAACCCCTGGGCCTCAGGACTGAGGCCTTCAAAGAATGCCCTCAGCTAGAACTCCTGGATCTGTCTTTTACCCGATTACATGTTAACACAGCACAAAGTCCTTTCCAGAACCTCCATCTTCTGAAGGTTCTAAATCTCTCCCACTGCCTCCTTGACACCAGCAACCAGCATCTCCTTGACGGCCTGCCAGCACTCCAGCACCTGAACTTACAGGGAAATCCATTTCCAAATGGGAATATCCAAAAGAGCAACCCACTTCAGACACTGGGGAGCCTAGAAATCCTGACTTTATCACACTGTGATCTCTCCTCCATAGATGAGCAAGCCTTCATCAGTCTTAAGATAATGAACCATGTGGACCTGAGCCACAACAGGCTGACATCCAGTAGCATTGAGGCCCTTGGTCATCTGAAGGGGCTCTACCTCAATCTAGCCTTCAATCACATTAGCATCATCCCATCTGGCCTCCTCCCCATCTTGTCCCAGCAAAGTATCATTAACTTAAGACAAAATCCCCTCGACTGCACTTGCTCAAACATTTATTTTTTAGAATGGTACAAAGAAAATGTGCAAAAACTTGAGGACATAGAGGACACTCTTTGTGAAAGTCCCCCAACACTGAGGGGAGTCAGGCTGTCTGATGTCACATTGTCCTGTGGTATCACAGCTGTGGGCATTTTCTTTCTCATTGTGTTCTTGCTCTTGTTCACTGTCTTGCTGATTTTTGCAGTGAAAAAATTTCTTAGGTGGAAATACCAACACATTTAGCTCAAGGTTTCCAGAGAAGGCAGATAAATATGTTTAGCAAAGTTGGCCCAAGTGAAGAAACTACCATCCTCAGGTGAGCAGACTTTTTTATTCTTTCCTAGCCCTGGGCTGGGGTTCACTGAGCCTAAACATATGTCTTATTCATGTGAGTCTCCCATAGTGCTGGGACTGGAGGCCCTGATCCTCCTATGAGACACACAGCTACTTCCTCCAGTGAGAAGTGATCCACTGAATACCATATAGTAATCCCACCCATTTCAGAAGAAAAGAGCACACACACACAACCTCCGACCATCCGGCTATGTGCAGGAGGTGGGAGGGCCAGCCCTGTCCCTCCACTCCCTTTCTCTCATACATCTGACATTTTGCTCTAGGCTGAGCTCTCTGTAATTGAGCCATTTGGGAAAGTTAGGCCTCAGAAAAGTCTCAATGCTCGTTTTAAATGACAAAAGGTTTTAAAAAAAAACCAATAAATTTAAAAGAAAAGACAAAGTAAAAAATTCTGCTCTCAACTAGATTCTATTAGTCACCTCAATTATTTGCTTTCTAAGGTTTTTTGAGAAGTTCCTAGGGCTCCAACAGTACAAAACTTTTAAAGCCTCATCCCACCCATTCCTGAAGGTTAGGATTTTATTCATTTCGCAACATGGAGGCTCCCCTTCCCCTGTCTGATATTCTGGCTCTTGGGTTGCAGACTTAGAGGTGGGCTGTGGTCCAAACTGCTTTTTTTATCATCCATGTTTCTGGCCTTTGGACCTCTTTCCCACAGGAACAGGGAGATGAATCCTGGTTCCCAGGCTGGCCTTTCAAAGCCTATTAATCCCCTTGGAGACTATTGAAGAACACTTTCACAGTGGAACCTTGTGGATTTATGTGTCCCGGCCCACTAGCTGTTGGGAACATGATAAGGCCAGTTTAGTGAGAAGAGGTTTCTGCTCAGTCCAAAGGTGTTCCCAAAGGTTGGAGCAGTGACAGACAGCATGGGGGTCACTGAATGCACATAGACACAGAGGAGAAGATAATTGACAATGTCACAACTTAACCCCTCCCAAGACTCAGAATCCTTCTGATGTAGGCTAGATATTTTGAAGTCTGAATTGCTGGTTGAAACTCAGTTACTGTAATGTTTACAGTTACTGTTCTCCGAATCTAGGAATTTAAACAACAATGATATTTGAAAAAGATTGCACAATACTACATATATGTATAGTTTTTATTTCATCTTTCCCTGAACAACATAACTATTACATAGCATATAAACCGTGTTGGGTACTGTTAGTCATTGAAAGACAAGAAGAATATGGAAAGATTGTGTGTGCTGTATGAAAATACTATTCTATTTTGTTTTTTATATAAAGGAGTTGGACATTTGAGGATTTTGATATCTGGACCCAATTTCCCCATGAAAACAAAGGGCAGGTACATAAAGATCTTGATTAAATGTCATAACTAATTTTAGATTAGATATGTTCACTGATGATGAAATGCTTGTCAAATATCAAAGAAGAATGACCAATGGTAACGTCTAACCAGAATGATAAGAGCAGCCATGCTTGCTCTTCACTGCTGGGGAAGCTGCTTAGGCAGGAGGCAGCTGGGATGAACCTTTTTGCTACTGGGGGACTTCAGCTTTTCCTGCTTGTTCAGTCCTGATTCTGGAAGCTCCTGCAGTCAGTCCTCACATCCCTGAGATTTGCAGGCATGGCTTTCTCTCCTGAGAGTGGCTTTTCCCCGTATAGTCAATCTAAACCCATGGTGAAGGATGCTACAGCCAGTGAACACTATGGCTCCTTTATTGTCCTTGTGGCTCTTTGATATCCAGAATCATGACTTGGGCATGATGAGGGTACAGGGTGTGTGCTCATGCTCACACATGAGTGTGCATAACATGAGTGCAGATGTTGATGTCATGTGAATGTTTCACCATCCTACTATTTTGAGACAGGACCCTTCACTGAATATGGAGCTCACCCAAACCCCAGGATCTACCCATCTTCATGCCCTAAGGCCACCCCAGCTCTGGGGTTATAAGTGAGCACTGCTCTGCCTGTCTTTTCACGTGGGTCCTTAGGAAGCTGAACTCAGTCTGCAGAAAGCACTTTTGCTCACTGAGCCCCAAGCTGCCCCAGTTGGGTGCCAACTGTTGGTGTTCTGGGTTACTTGGGAAGACTGATGAGAGAAAGAGAAAGACCTAGGCTTCTCAGCAGCATGGAGACCAACCTCTGAAGGACTGAACACTGATAGCTTTTTATGCTTACGCCAAAGCCACTTTTAGCAAGTCCATTTCTGCACACCAACACTTCTCTGAAATGGGGGTTGCCTCACCTAAGACATTCTCAGCCACAGTAGACTTCCTGGCCTGCCAGGCCTCTCTCCAGACTAAGATATGCAAAGACTCCTGAGAATCCTTCAAAAGAAGAACCCCAATACAATCTCAGATATTGATCACTGACAGAAGGCTACTTCAAAGCTAAGGAGCCATCACTCTTGATTCATGCCAGATATAATGGTTCTGCCAAAATCTGCTATACCCCAGCCCCTCGTGTTTTATGTTTCAAATGATTGCTGAGATTTTACAAGCATCTGATCCCTGAGCCCTTATCTGAGCTTACTACTGTCACCCATTAGCTCTGGTCAACATCTCCATTATTTCCTGCACTGCCCCTCCCATATATTTCTGACCAGCAATGCCCAGAGCACTGTTAATTATGGATTTCTATGCCAAGCCTGCAGTAATTGGGATATTGTTGAGATGAAGTCAACTCTGGATTCCTAGTGAATGGCTGTCTCCGCCACATCCCACTCCTATTCTTCATGTTTTCCTCCTACTTCTCCCATCTCATTTCAAAGTATAGATGGATCCCACATTCAGAATGCTGTCTTGGAAAACACCAATCCATTGGGTTCCCTGTCTATTCTGTCAGATGTCAGCTGATTCCTGCCTTAGGGATATAAACTGAAGATGAAAGATGCTAATTGTGATCCACCACTCTATAAGTGGTGGTTTGAAAGAAAAATGGCCCCAGTGGGCTCAAACGCAGTGTGACATTATTGGGAGCTGTGACCTTGTGGGAGTAGGTTTGGCTTTGTTGGAGGAGGTGTGTCACTAGGGAGTGGGCTTTGAGGTCTCCAAAACCCAGTTCATTACCTGCTAACCCAGGTGTAGAACCCTCTGCTCCTTCTCCAGACCACATTTTCCTGTGCATTTCCATGGTCCCACCGTGGTGATAATAGACTGGACCTCTGAAACTGTAAGCCAGCCCCAGTTAGATGTTTTCCTTTTTAAGAGTTGCTGTGGTCATGATGTCTCTTCACAGCAATAAAACTCTAAGACACCATTTTGCTTAATACTTAATTTATAACTCGGAAAAACCAAAGTATTCTGTAAAAAAAAAAAAAAAAAAATCTCTGGTACAGATGCATTCAAGGCCCCAAAGTCTGAAGCTTTGGCAAGCCCTAACTGCCCATCTTGCTTTCATCTGCCAGGCCTGCCCATTTCGTACCCTATGACTTGCTGTTCCAAAGCACCACACTGATCTAAGGCTCACTGACAGCTCCTCTGTATTAAGCAACAGTAAATTCAGCCCACAAAGTCAGGAAGGGGGCTATTTGATGGCTGCTGTCAATTTTATTGCTTTATCTGGTTACTAGGATAGGATCTGCAGACATCACGCATTTATTGGTTTTATGTATTGCATGTTGTTGCCGCTCTGACAAGCTACGCCTATAAAAATGTGTTGTTATTGCGTGATGTAGCCCAGTGAGCTGACCCTGCATTTTAAAGTGTACAGAAGCAAATAGCATCGAAGTCCATAAAAGATGACTGGCCTCCATCACAAAAGGACTCTCTGCGTGAACTGCAGCTCCTATGATCCAGGAAAGAATTACACCCTTCCGTGTAGCGGCAGCCATTGTTTTTAACTGAGCACAGCACACTCCCAAACACAGGCATTATCTGAAAAATTCTGAGACAAGATGCTTTATAGCACTCTGCTTTGTCCAACTCTTCGAGAAGATGCGCGTGCAGTTTTGAAGTTTACAGAAGGATGAAATGACTGGCTTGATGGTGTAGGATTAGGAGAGCATGTGAGTGGAGTTACCAACAGGGTTTCAGGTGCAGAAGAGGCGCCTGAATTACAGCACTAGAAAGTGGTTATGTCTAAGCTGGGGGCGGGGCAGCTGCTGGATGTGTTAAGAGTGTGACTGTCTAGCACAGTGGAAGATAGCCCGTGGCACAGAGGAAAAAGCTAGTCGGCTCCAGCTCCCAAGGCTAGTTGAACACCAGAGTCACCTGGAAAATTCTTGACAAAACAGAAGGAAGTCTTCAACCTACCTCGGGACATCCACCCCCCCCCCCTCAACACACACACCAAGTGATTTATATAAAATCATTTCTAATCTTCATTTTAGCAACAAACTGCAGAAGCATGTTAGGCTCTGTGATTCAGATAAACTAGTCCCTGTCTTCATATCCCAGGAGAAGAAGTTTCTTTCCAAAATTTGGACAGAGGTAATTGCCAAAACCCCTCAGTTCCAAGGGGCAGCATCCTGCCAGTTGACTTGACAGCCTCTCTTGCCGTCATAGCTGGGCTGCAAGACACTGGCCCCTGAAGCCATGCTGTCTCTCACCTCTTCCCCACCGCTCCTACTGCTTGCTAACAGCTTCCAAGGGAAATTGTGAATTGAATGTTACAGAGCTTGGAAAGAATCTGTGGGTTATGCTTGAAGTCTACTGTTGCTCACAAAAAAGATTTAACAGGGAGGATCACCAAAGACCTACCAACACTTCTACTCAGTATTCTCTGAGCACCTGGCTGTTTAAGGTGTGGGTCTAAATCTGGCAAAGGGGACAGAGGGCAGAGGGCAGAGGGCAGAGCAGTTCTCAGAGCATCCACGGATTCATTTCCTCCTCTTCCATTTGGCGCATAGAGCTTCCTCATGCCTTCCTCTGCCCCTTCCTCCTCTCTGTTGTCTATAAGGTCTCTTGCTATGTGTTCTAGACTGGCCTCAAATTCATTATCCTCCTGCCCACCACTTCATTTGGAAAATGTACACTACCGTGTCCAGCTTGGTCCATGAGCTCTCTAAATAGCTCAGGTCTCCCTTTATCTTCTTTTACAAGCGACCTAAGTAAATAATCTAACTACAGTAGTAGATAAGGGATTAAGTAAATCAGAGGATGTTCTGAATACACGGGGGGTTATTCCATGTTCTTAGAAGGAAGAACTTAACACTGTAAGGATGTCAGTTCAGGTGTCAAATCAGAAAGACACAGATCAAAATGATATAAACGATATGTTCGTGTTCTTCATGAGGACTAGAATGTGGGTTCCAGGCCCCACATCAGGTAGCTCTTGAGCACCTGTAACTGCAGCCCCCAGGCATGTGATGTGTGCTCTGCTATTCGCAGGGACTTGCTCCCTGAGGTGCAAACGCACGCGCACACACAGACACGAATAAAAATAAAATGAGGCTTGTTCTGACAAAAGGAAAAGGCTGGAGAGAAGGAGGACGGGCGTGGGGTTAGAGGCACTACGTGCTGTACTTGCAGGGTTTTTAATAGATTGTCTCAGTCCTACTAGAACCGTGTGACAATAACCAATCCAATACCTGATCTGTAAATTATCCTCTGGGGTTATAGCCCAAGAAAGCTCCATAGGTCTGCTAAGACTTTCAGCATCAGCTACAGAGAATTCATCACATGTCATACAAGACATTGTACAGTAGTTGGGAGTGATGGGTTAAGGCACAACCACAGCGGAACTTTATTGTAAATACCCTTAGACAAATGAAGTTCAGACAAATTGAATTTGCAGAGCGCATTTGAGCAAAGAAGGATTCGTGGGTTGGAAATACGTTAACCTGTGGTAGCTTGGAGCACTCCATCCAGTGAGATTCGTGAGCAGTAAAGGGCAGTGACAAACAGAAACAGCTTGATTGGTCACAGCAGGCTTTGCCTCTTTTAGGCAAGGTGTATTGAAGAATTTGCCTTGTATGAACATAATCAACAGCTTGCGATTGGCTCGAGTTCAGGTGTTCTGACTGCCTACGACTCAGTTGCCTTACGTAAGTCTGTTTTTAGGTAAGGTGAAAGTTTGTTTCCCTCTGAAAGTGGGTTGTAGTTGCTGGCCAGAGGCAACTCTGTGCAGCGAATAGAGAAAGGGAAGTCGTGAGTGAATGGGAGCTGTGGACATGGGCGCAGCCATGTCAAGGACCCCAAAGCCTCAAACCCATAGTGGGTCAGAGTAAGGCGTTCCCCTCCTATGCCAAGAATGAGGTTCGGAAGGAAATGGCAAAGCCTTCCTCTGGTCCATGTGTGTGATGTTGTGCGGAAAATGTCCACTATAGCTTTCCCCCTGGATGCTTACACT